ACAGCAAGACCAAACCTAGAGAACATGTTAACAATACCAAAGAGGTCTTAACCAAAATGCTGTACAGCAAGACCAAACCTACAGAACATGTTAACAATACAAAAGAGGTCTTAACCAAAATGCTGTACAGCAAAATGTCACCAGAGCAAAAACTATAATGTGGGATATAAAATGTGTTCTGGTTTTTGGAGGTTATTACAGAAGTAAGACACACACAGAGGAGGAAATACACCATTTGGTATTACTTTACACATTTAAGTTTCTACCACATTAGTAGGGTCTAGAGTGCAACTACAGGAGGTAAGGTTTTCTTTTTCACCATCACCATTTTCTTTTCTTTCTCATTTATTTTTCTTTAATTTTTTTTTCTTCTTAGTGTAGCCACCTTCCCACAACTGTCCGCATTCGTTGGAGAGTAATATAGTTGTGGGCTGGAGTATCTACATCTTGCCCCCATTATTTTACTCCTTTATATTTTTTATCTACATGTTAAGCTTTGTAGCACAGCAGACAAGTTATACTAAAATAAAATACCTACCAATTTATCTGAAATATAACATCCATCCTCAACCCATAAAGTCTACTTGTAAGGTCTTCTGTAACTGCTAATTTTCATACTGTCTTCTACCTTTTATAAGATCTTGCACATTCATGCATGTTAATTATGTTATTATATGTGTGAAAATAGTGCCAAATGTTTTGTTTAAATTACCTTATTAAAAAAAATGACAATCTTAAAATTATCACAAATTTTTAGCATAATATATTCGATTCTTAATTCTCGATACTTATGTACTACATTTTTATATCCGATATAAAATATTTTATTAAATTTATTTAATGTTTATCAAATCCACTAAATATTAAGTTTTGTATCAATATTTCAACATTAGCGGTAAAATACTGTAATTGGCTACAAATTCTATATAATTCGACTGGCTGAGAATTTATAATACTTGTATTAGAAGAATATGGAGTATTACTGTTAGGAGAGAGTTGGCCATATCCTGGAAAAAAAAATTAATTCTTTTATCGAAAATATTTAACTTAATGTGATTAAGTATCTTAACTTCCAGATCTAATTAATGTGCTTCTAATGCAGAAATTGAAGTATTAACAATTTCTAATTCTACTAGATAAATAATGTTAACAAAGTTATTTATGCTAATTAAATCATTAATATATTTACAATTTAGAGTAAAAACAACTGGATTTATAATGTAGGCTGGTCCTGCTCCTACCATACATCTGGGAAAACCATCCAGGGTTATTGGTAGGAGGGTACCCAGCTTTGCTCTCTTCTCTTTGGGTGGAATAAACCTCTGTCCACCACTCCAGCAACTGGAAACCAGGAGTGGTAAGGACTTCCATGCTCCACTACAAGAAATGGTAGGGGGGATACTCGCACTGGGGAGTCCCTAGGAATGATGCTCTGGAGACAGTGCAATAGGTGAACGACATTGCCTATTTTGAAAAGCAAACCGACCCCGAATGATGAAAACATTATAATGAGTAACTTATATTAAATTTAGTACTTCTCGGAGGGGTGGTAAAAAATTAGAGAAGAGGGAAGACATAGATAACAAACATCATAGTTCTCATACTAGGGGAGATTGCAAATTTTTTTAAATATTTCCTTACAAAATTAAAAACTTAAATAATACTAAACTTTGATTTATTATCTACATTCTGGTGCCAAGTTTATTCATTTACATTGATAATAAAGTAGTTTAATTAAATTTTCAATGTAACTCTGTGAAAGGTGGTGACGTGCACTTTGACCTATCCGAGGTAAAAGGGTTAATCATGTGGTACTTTCACAGGGCTTTATTTTCGTGCAATTTATTGTCATTGATGAAACTTGTTATAATTTGACTGTGGACAGCTGTGTGCAAACTGTATACTGTTTAGTTTGTTATGGTACAAAGTTTTAAGTAAAGTACTTGTGCTTGTCTTATGTATGGAACATCTTGCAGTGCATATTCAGTACCCAGGGGGTCAAAGATCATGCATCCCAACAAATTATTGTGCATACAGGACCCAGAAGTTCGGATTAACTAGAACCCTGTTCAATATGTTATTTACTCCAGCATACCACTAACTGTAGTGAAATCATCAAAATACAGTGACACAACAGTTTTATAAATATGAAATTAAATCAAAATTTATTTTTGAATGATTGTAGATTGTAATAAATCTCCTAGTAAGAGCTTAGGGCAAACAATCATCAGATTTCATGACACAGTCTCAAACTGAGTGCTCTCTGTGACCATCAGAGACTGTTTTAACTGGTTTTCATTTAAATTTTGTTATTTAAAGTAACACATTTCTAATTTTATGTTTTAGTTACTTTTGTTACAAAATATGTATAGAAATTAAAAAAAACAACATAAATAACAAAAAATTTAACACTTACTTTAACTTTGAGGCTGATTGCACTTGGAATGTGGATGCAATGTTGCTTGTACAAAAAATAATCCATGTAATTTTCAAATATGCATTTTAGAGCACAAAATGTACATCAGACATTGGAATAGGATGTCCCAAAACTACTATAATTTATCTGGCTTTCTAAATAAGCTATAAATAGGCTAAAAAATTTCACTACTGCTCAAAGTAATGATTTCAATCAAGACACATCAAGCATTTACTAGAAACTGCCAAATCTAATCTAACAAATGTAAGAAGTCAGTACCCTGAATTTTGCTCATTTTATTGGTTATAAACATGTCCATTAAGTATATACCACCTGAGTTAGAAACTATGAGAAAATTGAAGGAACCTATTTGGTGGATTTCATAAATCTATTGATATTAAAACATGAGAGTTTCATATTGTATATGCTTGCCTGCCACTACTTATAACATGTTTTTATTTGTCGGGACACTGAAAAGCTAAAAATAAAAATAAGTCAAATTGGAGGTGCACCAAATGACACAGAGAGGTGAAGACTGAGAATTTATTCAAATATTACCTTTTTAAATTAAGAAATTAAAACTTAGATAATATAAATTCTTAAAATTATAAATTATGTTTTAAAGCCAAGTTTATTAACATACATTGATCCAGCTGTTTAATTAAATTTTTGGATGTAACTCTGTAAAAGGTTATTACATGCACACTCAGACCAAACCAAGTGCATAGGATTAACACAGTTTATTCTTTAAACAGGATAACTGGATTATGAAATGAGCTGCCATCAGAAGTAGTGGAGGCTAGCATTTTAAAAAAGCTTAGGAAAGGAGTCAATGATTTCCTGATAAATAACAGGTGGCTGTATAGGGACAACCTTGAAGGATTGGCTACTTTTCAGTTGCTATGGAGATTAAATATTTCACTTGCTATGATCTTTGGTAGTCAACAAATCATACAAAACTGTGATAAACAGGACTTAGATGAAAGGTGTAAATATCTGTTTGCTTACATTTTTGCACTGATTATAAAAAGTAACACCTTGCAAATTTTTGGTGGGGAGCCGTTTTAGGTAGGAATTTTCTGAAATAGCTACATATAACTTGCTCGATTCTTGTCTCTAAATTATTCAACATTATTCTTGTATGCTCATGTATATATGCATACTGTACATATAAAAAAAAAACAAATAAAAACTAGATTACTTTAAAAAATAATCTACTACAAAAGCAACATAAGTGAACCTTTGTACTCATATAAAGAAGAACCAGGAACTGATTTCCTGTATGCTGACAGATTGGAGCGTGCTAGAAGTAATTCCCATTCTTTGTTGTTAGTCTCATTTTTAAAAGATCCAGTTGTTCCATTCTCAGAAACTGCTCCGTTTGCACATCCTTGGCATATGGTATGAATTTCACTGAATGTAATAAAAAAATTAATTTTACAAAGCGTTTGAGTAAAATGCAAATATACTATGATTTTAATGTTTCACAGCATAGTTCATGATTTTTTACTGTTATACAAATAAAATAATGCAATAATCACTATTAAATATAAAAACAACACAGGATCTACAATTATAAATAGACATTTGTTATTATTAAACTTAAATATATACATCTAAATATACACTAGTGTTTTAATCAGAAACACTAATTTTATAACAACATTTGATAAAAACAGTATCTACAATCCTTTGCTTGTGGCAGAATACATCTGATATCATTTAAGCTTTTAAGTTTAATTATTTTCAGAACTTATCAATCACCTCAAAACCTCTTCATCCGTGATTCTTTCTTTCTCCCAACTGAAAGCAGCTGCACTCAAAAGTAAACCAAACTTATTTCTATGCTCTAGTTTTAAGGCATTCTTTAGTCTTCTTACAAATGCCGATGCAAGTGTTCCTATACTCTTTTCATTGTACAACCTTTTGTACAAATTACATATCTGAAATCCTCGTCTAAAACGTTGTGAAACGTAAAAATTACACTGTTTGGTCAAACTTTCTCCTAACATTAGAAGTTTTTCATTTCCTTTACTACTTATCTGTTTCCAGAGCCAAATACCAAAAACAAAACACTGGTGATAGGCAGAGTATGACTGTCTTGAAGTTGATGTGTGAAAGATTGGAAAGTACTCATGATTTCGCTTTAGACTGAGCCATCGGTATATTGCTGTAAAACCTTTGAATTTGATGCTACTCAAGTTTGACTTTGAGGCTAGAAAACGTCCTACTACAGCAGTCTTCTCTTTATCGGGCATACAGATAATGCGGGACTCGCTACCATAATAAAGTTGTCTGGATGTTGGTTGAATCAAAATTCGTAGCAATATAGTACTACTGAGCATGTCCTTTTTTGGTTCATTTAAGATTATTAATATAGGCACTTAGTGTGGTGATACGTTTAACCGCAAAAAGAATTATAAATAACAACTAAAATCTCACATAGCTGAACGGAGTAAATCCAGCATGACTAAGTAACGTTCGTAAAAATGAAGGATTTCTTTGGTAGTGATCGAAACGCTCCACTATTCAACAAAAGTAAGATTTGACCTAATCAGAACCTGAGAAAGCGACTCACTTTCACATTGCTTGGCTAGACGGCGCTTTAATAAAAAAGAATAATAATATTCATTTTGAATGTGTAATATTTCAGAAGAACAGAATAAAACTCAACCAACAACATAGCAACGATACAAATTTAGTTTGTTTGTAATTAAGCACAAAGCTACACAATTGGTTATCTGTGCTCTGCCCACCACGGGTATCAAAACCCGGATTCTGGCGTTGTAAGTTGCAGACATACCGCTCTGCCACTGGGAGGCTACAAATTTAGAACTCTATATGTGTTAAATTCGATGTCGAGGAACCCACTTTGAGACTAATAATGGTTAATATGTGTTAATAATTTTGAATTTTATTAACTGAAAAACATAACGAGGAGTAATAATGTAATGGGCCCAATATATACAATAAAATGAGAAAATAAAATTTTAACGGAAAGTAAGGATCGTTACTGCAATATAAAGTACAAAAATACTTGTTTGTGTACTTTTATTGCAGCAACGATCCTTCTGTTAAAATTCTATTTTATTTTCCTATTTATTTGTTCAGTTTTTATATGGCCATGCAATGGATACAACATCTATAAAATATTAGTATAGCCATATACCTGATAGCTATAACTTTTACAAGAATTATAACTACAATCATAGATTTATAAAATGCAATCCTTACTTCGGCCTACAGATAAGTTTATAAAACTGCCAAAATGGGGATTAAAATTTATAAATTCGTGTTTGTGTATTTAATTCTTGTTTCATTACTTTTTGTAGCAGGATCACTACTTCATTTTGAAATTGATATTTTTTTAATACTCATATTTGTTTACTTTTACCATTAGAAACAGTCGCATGTCTCTCCATCGATATGTGGCGTTATCTGTTGAGTTGAATTGGAGTTTAAAAATATTCAAGCACGTGTATAATATGTTTACCATTTATAAAAAAACCTGTATGTATTTTTTTATTTGTCGGAATATCAAAAGGAGATACCCACAGACCAGTCAAGTAAGCTGGAGAAAGTCTTGTAGCGATAGTCTAAGGACTAACGCCGCTGACGTGATTAGGTAGATGGTAGACGAAAAAAATGCTGTTTTAGAAAATTTTGAATTGTTATACCGGAAATGTTTCCGACTTTTTAAACATATTGTTACGTCTCCGTGTGTTAATTAATTTTCCGTAACTTCGTTCCGACGAAACTTAAGCGACACATG